AGTGACCAGGCACTTTGCTGTATGTACATTTGTTTTGCTTTGAAAACCCATGCACGCTCAATACTAATGAGCCTCAACTATTGATCTGTGATGCAGACAATTTACTCCGGCAAAACCAAACAAGCACCAACGCCTTAACTGAACAGTCGGCCAATCGGTCAAGAACAGTTTCATACATTTCACATCAAACTGAAACTTCTCTTAACCGCTTACACTATCCAATTCGCGTGCCAAAAGATCCTCCTCGATCGAGTCGCGCACAAACTGATGCTGGCTTTGCGCGTTTCCTCAAGGATCATACATCCCCTAAGCATCAACGCGTTACTGCTGGTGGTCGTATTGTTCCTATGGAGCCGCAAACCCCTGCCCCTAAATTCAAATTGCCTGTGCAGAAGAAGCAGGCAAGCGATCACGAGATGGAAGCACTCGGGTCTATTCTAGGGGTCGAGCGCGAAAGTATATCCGGAAATACTCCAGTAGGGCCATTGGAGACGAACTCTATTAGAAGTGACATATCAAGGAATTCTGCTGGCCCTACTGGAATCCTCCCAGACCTTGCAAAGTTATCTCTCACCAATGGCATATTTGACCAAACATCTCAAGAATCAGGATGCCCGCCAATTGTCCCATGGCCCGCGCCAGGATATGCCCTACCGTCCGGATATTCCATCGCATTCAACAATCAGCAAATTCATCGCGTTGATCAGTACCCCCAAATGGCATATATACCGGTGCTTCCAGACCAGACGATGTATGGTATTGGTCCAGATATGCACTCGGGCATCCCAGATATGTGCCAAAGCTTGAATGTGCAGGGCCCTATGTCTTCTATGTCAACATCGGTCCAGCCACACTTAGCTGCGTCAACAGCATCTTCTGACTTTACATCATGCAGTAACGCTGCCAGTGCAGGCTCTTCCTCAGCTTTCAGCCAGGGCCAACTAAGTTATGAACCCGGCTATTCGACTTTTACGCCTCAGGTATATCAATTTGTCAGTGGTCAGTTCCCAGCATTCAAACAGCCACAGTATCTCCCAGGAACGTCCCAAGGAATGCCACACTTGAAATGCTTGGATGAAGCTAAAAAGCAGTATGAGTCTCTTTCATCCCAACTCTCCCATCTTGACAGGTATATGGCTATACACACCTGGGATATAGACTCTCGGTCGAAAGAGGTGATGGTTGAACAGCGGAAGAGTTTGGTGCGAGAGTTAGACGTAGTCCGAATGTATAGAGAGCACCTGGAACTGATCTTTGGAAAGCCAAGCATGAATGGTTTAAGCGACCAGGAAAGGGTTAATGCTGATTTACTCGCACCGCCTATTACCTATCTTACAGAAAGTACGGTAGATTATCAAGGGTTCTTGGGACCAATGTCTTCATCTTCCAGTGCAAGCTGCGCAGGTCAGACATTGCCTGCATACTTGACTCCGCCAACGCTCCCCATGTTTTGCCCAGAAAGTGAAGCTTTCATCCCAGTGCTTCCGTGGCAAAACTTAGGGTACCCAGGCTCTGCTGTAAGTGTTAAAGATATGTCCGCAAACGGGACTCTCGGAAATCCCAATTTGCCTCAGCAAATTGATGAAACGAGAATGAAACTAAATGTAAACCAACGAGACAAGCAAATCCACGCATCAACTTTTAGCGATAAGTCTGGCAGCACATGTGACGAACAGGCATCATCTAGGATGCCATCACCATTAGATCTTCAACATCTGTATCACAAAATTGAAGAGGCCACAGAGCGGGGCGAACCTGTTGGCAGACTACTCAAGGAGTTGTCTGTTGTTACCTCGCAGCTCCTAAAGCAGAAAAGGGAAGAAGGCAGAATATCTCATCGGTCAGCACGAGGCAAACAGGGTCTACCGCCCGCTCCAAGCGGTAAACCAGATTCGACGAGAATTACCACAAATGGCAGGCCAATGAAACATGCAAGATACCTCTGGGGATCTGAAGCCCATCCGAGAGAAGCTGCGAGGAGCTGCGGCGACACTTCGTCTATGTCAGACAATGAGGCAAATGGGAAACTCTCTTCATCTTACGTGTCCACGACGGACTCATGGGCTACTGTGCATGAAAGAAAGTAAGTACTACTTCTCAAAACTCGTTTCTTCCTCAATTGCCGACTCCTTACAATAGCAGCAAGCGCTTGGTTAGCATGGGCTCTTTGGAAGATCCCAAATGTGGGAAGAATCCGGAAATTATTTGGGAAAGGTAAGACTTGCCCCGTTAAATGCATTAAACCTACTCACAGTGTGTTTGTGCAGTCCCCGGTCCCTTCCCAAGTACAAAATCGTGTCAGCTGAGGCACAGGCTTCAGATGCTCCACAGAACATTGGATGGATCCGGGGGCGATTAGAGGACAGGAAAGAGGTAAAGCCGAGCAAGGCCACCACGCTACATCGTACCCACAGAACTCGCGGAGGCGACCCAGACATGCACAATATGAAGCTGCCAACATCGTCTTTGAATACCCAGCTCCTGAGTCGAAACCGGGGTTTAGTGTTTAAAAAAACAGCTGCTTTGGCAGTTCCTCAAAACATCAACGTACAGGCCTATGTTCCTTCTTTTGACGGCCCTGGAGATGCGCCTAGAAACGAGACAAGCCAGCGAACAATGGAAACCAGCGATAGACAGATGCAGGGGACTGTATGCTATAGCTCTGTTCAAGAGGCTAGACCATGGTATATGCCCAAGCAGCGTCCCAAGCCTAGTCGGGAAACCCTGCGTGACTTCTTTCGCCAAGTTCGAGATGAAGAGCGACGTGAAATGCACAACTCTCAAAACGAGTGTCAATCTAATGGCCGGTAAAGCAATCGCCCCATGGCACCAGCTGCAGCTGTATTATCCTCCACAGCTTTTTTTTTTTTTTTTCTTTTTTTCCCTTTCCCATGTTATTCTTGGGTTTTGCTTTTAGTCCCTGACTGTTTTCTCTTAACACTACAAAAAAGAAGAAAAATTACACAGGTGAGTGGGCGAATTGGACAAATAGTGTGGCAGACTTATGGGTGACGATGCTAACTGTAGTACAGGAAGTATGCTTGGCAATCGATGCAGTATTAGGTTGCATAATATCTTGATCCCCTTTACATTTTTCACCTTGGGTCGACTACCTTAGGAGATGGGGCTCACGCTTTTGTCTCAAATGAACGTGTTTGAATAATTAGTATGCATGAGGTTCTCGGATAGGTATGTTTCGAGGCTTTCGGCTACTCAATTCTCTGGAAGAGTAGGCTCCATGTCAATTTGGTGACTACCGAAGGCTGGTCATCTCGTTTCTCGGTGGGTATCTCTATACGAGCTTAGTATGAATCAAGTCCTAGTTGAAACTTCTTACAGAGACTGAGCTCTGCAGCTCGGGACAAATCTCCTAGAATTAGCGCCGAGTATTGCATATATATACACTCATACAACTTCCGACCTGGTTTACTTAGCAGGCTCCTAGTGAGAAAGCACCATCACTCCGTAGGCCTCACAAGAAGTTGTGAGCAACGGTTCTTGGCATGAAATCACCAACGTTAGACCCACTTATTTACTTAGGTTACATATGATCGGCGTACCATCGACTAGTTCGATAACACGTACTCCGTACTTGGTAGTTTGTTAAGTACGGAGTAGAATGCGTATCATCCAACAGTCCATGGGTGGATTAATGGGCAAGTAGTATTTTGTCTTAGAAGAGCCCGAGGTTGAAAGACGGATCAGGATAATTCCCAGCTGAATGTACAAGCTTCCTCGGAAGTGGGTAGGAGCACCATTGTGCCTAAGGCGGTGTTTACGGCGGAGTAGACATGTTGCGCACTCATTGTACTATCTTACTGTGAAGGCGCTATATTGCTGGGCAGCATGAAGAAATGATGATTAGTTTATTATGCTAGGTTTTGTCTGGTCTTTCCGTAAATCGTTGATACAGAACCGATGTGAACAAGCTATATCATTGCATAAATCAACTACAGTATTTATGGTGAGACCAGTCTAACAAGCAAGATATATAATGAACCTCTTCTACTTCTTTTAATGGAGACAGAACGCAGGCATACATGCCGGAATTTTGGTACCATCAAACAGTGGGTACACCTGAGGGGCAAGAAGGGGGCAGTCACAGTGTGAATCAGCTTCGCGTCGCAAAAGAAGTGGATCCAACATTTACGCGAGACTATTTATATTTCATCCTCGTTTAGTCGCCTCCTGAAGCGAAACATTGGTAGCCTCAATCTGGGTCCTTTTGCATGGGTCTCGGATGAGCCCGTGCTCTGAATCCTTTCGAAGTTGTCAAATATTTAGCTCTGAGACATCGGGTTCCGGTTGAGTTACGGGCTGAGATGTGAAATATGATATGATGTATTATGAGGCGTGTGTATGTGTATATATGTGGTTGCGTGGTGAAGCATCTGTAAACACTGTTTTATAACTCAGGATGAATATACTACTACTAGTAGGAGTAGATGACAATGAATGCGAGAGATTTTAACTGCCAAGATGATGCGCCCAGCCACGCTAGTCCCGGTTTATTCCTTGGCCCTGACCAATGACTTGCAAGCGAGGAACCATGTTTTAACCTTCGGCTGTCATTTGGGCAATTTTGAATTTCCTGAAGAGAGGAGAAATGAGAAGAAGATCGGAATAAAGGAAAAGAGAACCGAATTAGACGAACAAGAAAATGAAAAATAAGAATAACTAACTAACTAACAATCGGCGTACTTTCTATTAGTAATCAGGAATGGTGGCAAGTGTTGCATTATTCATACAAGATAGTATGATTTTGTCTGAGTTGAAACCCTAGCCATGACTCGGCATGTCCCGATGGTTGCGGAATCCATCCATGGTGAAACCCCAGACCAGAAGAAGTAGTAGCAGAAACAATCCATTGGACTGCGGGTGATAATGACCCGTGACTGATCTTGGAAATAGTAAAGTCGATGGCGGATTTATTGACTAAGCCCGAAATTCCCAATCTTTCCTCCACGTCTCCACTTTGTATTCCCTCCCCTTCCCTCTTTCTTCTCTCTCTTTCCTCCCTTCTTCATTCATTGTTTCCACCCTAGGTTGGAGAGGATAGTTTAAATTAACACGCCGTCTCTCGTTCCTCAGTCTCGACTTTCTTTAACCGAGTTCGTGCCCCAGTTCTAGTACTCCGACGGTGATTTGACGAGTACTTGTACCTCGCTTTCCCCATGTCACTATCAGTTTGCGGGTGGACGTCCCTTTGATCGCAATCATTAGCACCGCCTTCTTCCCCGCCGTTTCTAGCCCGCTGCTCGGTCCCCTTCCTTGCATCGATCAATCCAGACTATCACCCCCTTCTTTATTCTCCCACTAAATTCGATTATTATCAACCTCGTGGAACAATCACCCAATCCCTGGTATATGTCCAGGTGAAATCGTCGGCATGACCCAACTTTTCGCCTCCAGTCCGTCCAATGTGTCGAACGAGAAACGTGGAAACTTTCCTAGCCTCTCTCTCCCGTCCAAAAAACATACCAATGAGTCGAGTCATCTCCCGACGAAGATCAAGAACTTTTTCCGCATAAATAGTTCGAGCAGCAATTCCTCTCATCACAGTCATAGCCACAGTGGCGATAGGGATAGAGAGGGCAGTTCTCACACCAACGCCAAGACCGAATCTAAGTCTGCCTTTAGGCAATCGCGATTCCTTCCTACAATTGGTCGCAATCGCTCAACCACTGTTGCTAGCGAAGGTAACCCGCTGGATGAGGGAGTGTCTCCAACTGCAACAGCGAATCCGTATTTCGTTCATCAGGGGCAACCTTCCTTACAGCATCGCAATGACGGTTCGGAGCCTTCCTCTCCGCCGGACACTCCAGAGCTACAGGTCGACGGTGTCTCCGCTGCCGAGCAGGCCACGACTGCCAACAAAACCGAATTAGCTCGAAAGCTTCGCCGCGTCGCTTCCGCCCCGAATGCACAGGGTTTATTTGCCCGGGGCGAGAATGATGGACGCCCCCAGACGGCTGAAACTGGAAACCAGCCCCCAGTGGAAGAAACAGACTCTCAGATCACTATCGCGGAGGATACAGTCGGGAGTCTCGCCGTACCTAAACTTGGTTCCGATGGCAAGATCCCAAGTCCCGGCGAGATTCGCAACCAGGTTGCCTTCCGCAGAACGTATAGCTCCAACTCGATTAAAATTCGGAATGTGGAGGTTGGGCCGAGCAGTTTCGACAAGATCAAGTTGATCGGCAAAGGTGACGTAGGGAAGGTTTATCTCGTTCGCGAAAAGAAGACGAGTCGCTTATATGCTATGAAGGGTAAGTCCGCCGTGGTTCCATTACACAGACCTAGGGCATTCAAATGTTCTGGACATCTTATCTTTTCTATATCCTTACTGACAACACTAGTCCTGAGCAAGAAGGAAATGATCAAACGAAACAAAATCAAGAGGGCGTTGGCCGAACAAGAGATCCTCGCCACAAGTAACCATCCTTTTATTGTCACGCTTTACCACTCTTTCCAGTCCGAGGATTATCTCTACTTATGTATGGAGTATTGTAGCGGTGGTGAATTTTTCCGAGGTGCGTATAGATTAAGATCTCCATCTCGACTATCCGCTAATTTAGACTCTGTAGCTCTTCAGACACGTCCGGGGAAATGCATTTCCGAAGACGCGGCGCGGTTCTATGCGGCGGAAGTTACAGCCGCATTAGAGTACCTCCATCTCATGGGCTTTATCTACCGTGATCTAAAGCCAGAGAGTATGTAATTCTGTGATGCACTAATGATAGTGGCCACCATACTGACTGTAGGTAATTCAGACATTCTTCTGCATCAGTCTGGCCATATAATGCTGTCAGATTTCGACCTGTCCAAACAATCCGGTCCTGGTGGAGCACCCACCATGATTCCGGCGCGGAGCGGCAACTCGACGACGTCTCTGCCCACCATCGACACAAAGTCGTGCATTGCCGATTTCCGGACGAACTCCTTTGTAGGAACGGAGGAGTACATTGCGCCGGAAGTCATCAAGGGCTGCGGACATACCAGCGCAGTTGATTGGTGGACCCTTGGCATCTTGATCTATGAGATGCTTTACGGCACAACACCTTTCAAGGGTAAGAACAGGAACGCAACGTTTGGAAACATCCTCCGAGATGACGTACCATTCCCTGAACATGGGGGGGCCCAACAAATCTCCAAGTGAGACTCTACTATTTTCACATTAATGTGGCATACGCTAACAACATGGCTATAGTATGTGTAAGTCTTTGATCCGTAAGTTGTTGATTAAAGATGAGACGAAGCGTCTTGGAGCTCGTGCCGGTGCCTCGGATGTCAAGACTCACCCTTTCTTCCGGCAAACACAATGGGCACTTATTCGCCATATGAAGCCTCCGATGATCCCTCATCAAAGCCGAGGAACGGAGACTCTCAATTTCCGCAATGTTAAAGAAAGCGCCAGCGTTGATATTGGCGGCAGTAACCCTACCAAGATGAAGGGTGTCCCCATGGATTCGGGTCTTGCCACGCCCAATGGGGAAGTGAACGACCCATTTGAAGAGTTCAACAGCGTTACTCTTCATCATGACGGAGATATGTAATTCGTCGACCGATGGATGCTACTGTGGCCGTACTGCTTTCTTGGCGCACAACCGGTTAGACCTTTTGAGCATCCCTTGCATAGCTCTGGAGCTCATTTCACGACGATAACGCATGAAAGATCTTTGTATCCGAAGCAACAGTTTCTTACACCTATAATCTGGAGTACGGGAGCTTAGAACTTTTTGTGGGGTTTTTTTCTTGAATTTTTTTTTTTTTTTTTTTGTTTGAAAACTCATTTGATTTTTTCCGTTCTCCGATATTCATCGGCCTGTGTCTGTGTATTACGGCTATTAAGCCTACCTTCATGGGATGACCTTTCGGTTTCTTGCTTTTTTGACTATCCGGCGCAGCGATGTACACGTTTTGCTTTTGCTCCCATTTATCACTCACAATTGCAAAGGGCGGCGTTTACGATTTCGGTTATATGGCAGAGCAGACCTGTTTTTGCGGATCATCCCCTGCGATCGTTCGCCTGTTCACAGGCGAATTAAAAAGGATACGAAGACTTGATATTTGGTATTTGTTTTTGCTTGCATTGGTTTTTCTTGTTTCTGTGAAGACAACATTTGGATGTCTTGGTATCCATATGTTAACAGGCCCGGCGCCAGGACGTATGTTAGAGCTACAACTATCATGAGATCCATTTTATTGCATTTATCTGGACGAGGAGTTGTTTTAACACTGGAAATCTCAATGCGACTTTCACTGATGCTGGGAGTAGTGCGAGGCATGCGGAAATCATTATCTCGCAAGAGCTCATCAGTGATGTTTAAAAGATTGCCCGGCTAACTGCAAACGGGCTCATTCACCTGTCATTCAAAATATCCTACCGGTGTAAATATTACCTCGACGCCTACATGCGCTTTGGACGCGCTTGGAAAGCGAGTGGGGGCTGATTTTGACCCCTAATAGAACTGACAGCAATAAGGTATTCCTGAGCCTTGACCCCCAGTTCTGCTACAACATGATGCACCACCACTCGGGTGATTCTTGAAACTAACCAATAGTGTCTGATGTCAGAGGCGACGATCAACATTTAATCACGAGTACATTTCAGGAGGCTCCATATGCTTTCCCCCCGTTTCCACACGGTTGCCACACTTTCACCACCTCAGCCGATTACTACACTTGTCTTCCAAGCACAATATCGTCATAATGGCTGTTGCCCGCAGTAGAGGAAATTTGACCATGCCAAGAGATGGTCGAAGGATGTATAAAGGTTACTCTCCTGGATACTCTGGCTTCTCACATTCTTTAATTGCCGCTTGGCGCTATGAAAAGAGCATTCGATCTCGATTTCTTTTATTGAAGATACCAGCCTCAAAATAACACCTGGAAGACCCAAGTTTATCTGGTATCATTTTACCGTCCCACACGCCCAACCAACAGGGATTGGTGTGACGTCGACAGCGGTTGACCTTTCCAGCATTGGGCCCATGCCCCAGATATTCTTTTATTTAGAGGGCAATGCTTCGCCACGCGGGTGCGAAGCCGATAGGTCAGATCGAGTTTCTTGCTGACCCTAGTTTGCGATCTGAGCGTCCGTCACATCTCTCAAAATGCCTCGGCAGTTTAGGAGGTGAGCGGGATTGTGTCCCATCAAACCTCCGGAATCATAGCCCGAGCGATAGCTGCCATGGATCCAGTAGCAAACCCTGGCTGTGCGAACCCTGTGTGGAGGTCGGGCCGAAGGGTCGCTTCAGATAGGCCCCGAATGTAACTTGAAAGGAGAGTCAACTGAACTACTTCTCTAGTTATCTATTACCGTGCCACCCGGACCTTTACCTCGTTCAAGCACATGTACAATCATATTCGTGAAGCCAATGCCCATTGTATAGAAACTATCTAGGTGGTGGCGTACCACGCTATAGAGACGATCTCTCGACCCCGCTATGCTGGATGACAACCTGTTATCTGATGGGATTCCTAAGTGATGGAACTCAGTTTGCTACTTCTCTCTGAAAGTAGTGTTGGGACAGCTTCTGATCCGAATACATCTCATGTAACTATACGAACACGTGTCACTTTGTTTGTCAATGTGACTGCCGGAGATTCATCTTGGGCAGAGAGACTGTGGGCACCTCTGCCATATGAAGAGAGGCACTGGCAAAAGGAACAAACTTCGCTACAAATGGCTCACCCTCGGTAGTGACCTCTGTTGGAACTCCATGCGCAGCCCCGTTCACCACCGGCCATGCAATCCGGATTGCCGCGACCGAGATAACCATCGGTGGGGCGCCTCGCGCGTAAATAGGGCTAGGGAGTGGACTTGTCGGGTCCGTGTCGTGATTAGCCCAGTGTATGGCGATCTGAGAGGGATCAATAGCCACTCGCCACTCAGCTCCCTCCTCTGGAACGAGCATACGATCGCGAAGTTGGGGGTACGTTGGATCCGTTGGCAAAGGATCCACGTTCTTTTTCCAATGAGTGGGTTCCGTGCTGGTCTCGGTGTAGGCGATATCGAGGGCATAAAGCAACGAGCCCCAGTAGATGGATACAGCAGAGGATAATGGCCGGTTCACAACCCGAATTTCAGTACCAAACGTCACAATGAGTTGCGACGATCCGGCTGGAATTGTGAAATGGAAGACGTCGCCGTGGTCGCGCACCAGAGGGATTACACGTCCGCTTGGCAAGCTGGCGCGTGAGGACGCCGTCGCCCAGCTGGGAATTCGAGTATAGAAATCGAAACTCTTTGTAGTAGTGAACTTATAACTGATTGTCTGGTCAAACGGATAGTGAGTGTCGGCTATGACGGAAACATGGGCCCCATCAAGCTCCATGGAGGTCTCAGCAGGAATGAGAAAGCGATGGATCACGCCGTTACTACCTTTACGAACAAAGGCAGAGCAGACCAGCTTTGGGAGGCCTTGGTGATGGTTTACCAAGCAGCACGGCTACATTATCTCGAAAAGTTAGCCAATAAATATCGGGCGTAAACATTCGATTGAATCGAGATATGTGCAAGGCGCCACATACATAATCTGGCTCCAGCCCGAAGATATTGCCGTACGGGCTCACATCATAGAAGGGTCGACCGTCCAGTCGCTTGATCCATGGTTGATTGGACTGGGTGACATACTGATGGGTCCACCAGTCCGGCGAAATACCCCCTGGAAGGGCATTGAAAGCTGCCTGCTCTGTGAGATCGGCGTAGTCGTTGTCACCGAAGAGACGGTGCAGCCAGGAGAGGGAAAACATTAACTCCACAGCCATACACAACTCCGTGCCACGTTCTGGACTTAGCCCTCCAAGAAATTCATCGCTCGTGATTGAGCCAGACGGGGTGCCATGGTAGCGAAAGGCCATGTCTACGGCCTCCCGAGTTTGGCGGGCAAGCTTCTCATCGTGGTTCATCCGGTACTTCTGCGCCATATACCGCAACCCTAGGCCAGTATATGTTAGTAGGGCAGATATACTATGCCATGAGGATAGTGCATGTAAGTAATTATCTATACTAACCTTGAGCTACGTTGATTCCATGTTGGAAATTAGGCTGAGGTTTAATAGACGCTGAAGTAGGAAATGCTCCTGGGACAAAGAACTTTGACCAGTCACGACCACCGATCTCAGCCCCTGTCCACATCAAGTCCATAGTATCCCAGATAACTGATCGGTTCTCCTCAGCTACATTCTCGTAGAGCCACTGGAGCGTGGTGGAAAGCTCATGAGCCCGGGCTAGCCCAAACTTGAGTGGATCAAAACGATCGCCCTCGTGTGACAGGTAGCCCTGATAGTTATTCTGGATCATGCTGTGCGCTAGACGGGTGAACCGCAGCATAGACTCGACGATCTCATCTCTGCGTCCCGGCTCAGCCTGCGCATGTGCAGCCATACCAAGAAGCAGAAGACACCGCGCCCACAGCCCTCGGGTTTCTTTGGTGGTTTCAGGACCCAGCCAACCATCGCCAGCCTGGTGAATGATCGTGTAGTCAAGAAACTGATTTGCCTGAGCTTTGAGTCGCTCGTCGTCTAGGGTGTATGCTAACGGCACAATTCCGTTGTACCAGTAAGGCGCTGCTTCGTTCAGTTCACTGTATTCTTCCGTGCCACCGAGCCAGGAGCTGTTCTTGACATAGCGGTAGAAATCGAACATGTGGCCAGCTAACCCATCAGCAGCCAGGCGAAGCTGATCTCTCACCCATCCCCGTGGCTTGATTGCACCGACTGGGATTTCCTCATATTTGAACGGCACCAGCTTTGCAGACGCCATGATAGCTGAAGGATCAGGTATGCTTGATATAAACTGGCATCTAACTCATTAAAAATAGAATGGACCACCAAGAGAATTTTTGGGAAAGCATGGACTCTGTTGGAAATATCCCCGTGGGGAAATGCCTATGCTCTTCAAAAGAGGCTATATTGGTGTTCGAGTCTCATGAAGCGGAACACACTCCGAATGGTGGGATAAGTTAAAGGATCTTCATTGACAAAAGAGGAGAAAACAGGCGCTCTAAACAAGGGTGCTGTATATTTCATTGGCTGGCCCATTTACCGGCTCATTGATATAACCTTGCAATGAGACCCTGCTGATAATAACTGGTAGTAAGGTCTCGAATAGGCACCCTGACCTCGGGAAGTGATACCGAGCCCACTTTCCTCAGATTTAGGACGATTTGGGCAAAGATCTGGTAAATCCCCGGTAGTGGACGTCATTGCTCGATCAGACAAAACGGGCGATATGAACATAGAGCTGGGATGCGGCTATGTGGAGACACTGAGTAGTATATAGATAGGGTCCGATGGGACCAGATCCACTGGGCCACTGCTCCACTTATGCATACTATTTCCTGAAGCTTTACTACTGAGGATCACTGTCTGGACCATCCAGCTACAAAATTGTCACCTTTTATGGAATCGGTAGGGCGTTGTCCGCCTTGCATACTTCGACATTTGCAACTATAGCTGAATATAGTTCCTCTCTACACAGCTCATCATGGACAAAGCAATTAAGGATGATGGCAGTTCTCGACCCCAGAAGTCGACATCAACCGACAAGGACGAGGTCGGTCATGTTGCCGAGTACAACGAACAAGATCATGGTGCGGACTCTGAGCTATCACGCTCACTGGAGTCCCGGCACTTGTTAATGTTCTCAATCGGATCGTCGATCGGAATGGCCCTGTGGCTGGGGTCCGGTACTTCACTGATCAACGGTGGGCCCGCTGCTATATTCCTAGGCTATTGTATCGCAGGTTCCATCGCCTGGGCGCTCAGTCAAGCAATCGGCGAGCTGGCAGTACTCTATCCCTTGGCCTCAGCATTCCCCAAATGGGCAAACAAGTTCATCGACAAAGCTCCCGCTTTCACAGTGGGATGGGCGTACTGGTTCTCCGCATCGATTACCCTCGCGAACGAGCTCCAGGGTGTGGTTACAGTCCTGAGCTTCTGGACGCAATCTGTGCCAACGGCGGTATGGCTCTCCGTATTTTTGGTGGTTATCCTAATCATCGTTGTATGTGCCGTCAAGATATTCGGAGAAGCAGAGGCCATCATGTCGACAATCAAGTTATTCTGGATTGTGGTGGTGATTATAAGCTGTATCATCATTAGTGCTGGCGGCGCGCCTACCCACCATAAGACCGGGTTTGAGTACTGGAACTCCATGCCCTTCACCAATGGCTTCAAAGGTTTCCTCTCTGTTATGGGAACCTGTATCTTCGCCATGGGTGGTACTGAATTCGGCGGTATCGCCGCCGCTGAAGCTCGTAACCCATTAAAGTCAGTTCCCAAAGCTGTCAATTCAATTTGGCTTCGTTTGACGCTCTTCTATGTTGTCGGTGGCCTAATGGTAACCATTACCGTCTCACCCAGAGACCCTGATCTTTTTGGTGGCGAGGGGATCAATGCTAGCCCCTATGTGATCGCCTTTCGCAATGCTGGCATCCCCGGTCTAGCACATGCGATGAACGCAGTTATTTTTATCAGTGTTATTTCCTCCGGAAATGCACAAGCATATGCTGCTACTCGTACGGTCGTGGGTCTAGCAAATATCGACATGGCACCGCCCGTTTTCAAAAAGTGTGACCGGCTAGGACGCCCATGGGCGGCCATCTTTATCACATTCCTCGTGGGAGGCGGCCTATGCTATCTCAACGTCACCAATTCAGGTGCAACGGTATTTGGATGGTTTTCGAACCTGACAGCCTTGTGTATACTATGGCTCTGGGGCACGATCTTCCTATCTCATTTGCGGTTCCGTATGGCATGGAAGGCTCAGGGCCGTTCGCTTGACGACCTCCCATGGAGATCATGGGCAGGGCTATTTGGAACTGTTTATGGGTTGACCTGGTGTATGTTGTTGGTTGTTGTCCAGTTTTACTTGGCCGTGTGGCCTCTGAATAAACAGAGCAGTGCTGAAAACTTCTTTGCGAACTATATATCGATTGTTGCAATTGTTGGTCTGTATGTCGGTAGCAAGATTTATTATCGAGGTCCGCTGTGGATACATGCGAAGGATATTGACCTGAACACAGGCCGAAGGCACTACGTGAGCGAAGATTTGGAGGCTCGGGTCAAATCGAGTTCGGGGATAAAGAAGATTGCCGGATTTATCATGGGAGAGTCGAAGGTTTAGAAACGGGTGTTGTGGTCTAATGCGACGGGGTTGTATAGGTTATCCTGGGTATATCCAATCTACGTAGCTGATTATCTATGCATGCCTATATGTCTCAGTCAAACGTCTAGTCTGATAATAGAATCTATTCCTCTGGTATAACACAGTGAACAAGCGCATCGCCAGTCATTTGGTCGTCAACAAATCCTCTCCGACATTGCCCAAAGATAAACCGATAACCCAGCCAACACTAAGACATCTTTATGCCCTCTCACATCTACGATATTGGGGTTAGTCCGTGTTCAGGTTTCCAATATGCCCCCTCAGACTCTAGTCGGTTTAACAACGACCAACCATATTTCAACCGAAGTATTATCTATTAAACCGGCAAACCACACTCGTGGGACTTGATTATCCATGTCTCAGGAGATTTTACCGAAGTGAGGAGATCTACGCATTAGAATCGCGCTTTATCATAAATTAATTAATTACTCCGCACAGGAATGAAGCATCCCGGCTGATAGCATAACAATTCATCCAATAATCCTTCGGGATAGTCATAGCCCGAGACCAGACCGCGTGATATCAATCGATGTAACTGTACCATGTCAGCTCGGTAGTTAAGCCCTAATAACTAATAACGAGTGAATTAATATATTAAATCTTCGGGACCTGATCCCGTTCTTCGGATGCAGTCAACGAGGGAGAGAATATTGTACAAAAGGTAGTGATAGATAAAAAAGCAGCTAGGAAAGCTAACTCAACCAGCAAAGTAAACCATTCCATTTCTATCTAAAGCACGAAATACATCCGTAAGCCACTCATAAAACCAATCTACTCAAAACCCTAAAATGCGAATGCAACTCAGCCTTCTATTAGCAACTGCAGTAGCAACAATCCTCGCAGTCAATCCACGAGATGCGCCCAAAGAACCGACCGGCATCAAAATCATCACCAGCCCGAACGGTAGCACAATTCGGTACAAGGAGCCCGGCGAAGAAGGCATCTGTGAGACCACCTCAGGAGTCAAATCGTACAGCGGCTACATTGATATAACGCCGGATATCCATGTGTTTTTCTGGTTCTTTGAATCAAAGCGCGACCCTAAGCATGATCCGGTTACGCTTTGGCTCAATGGAGGACCGGGAAGTGATTCGCTTATTGGCCTGTTTGAAGAATTGGGCCCTTGTACTGTTGCGGAGAATATGACGACGGTTCTTCGCGATTATTCTTGGACTGAGGTTTCCAATCTATTGTTTCTTTCTCAGCCCGTGGGGACCGGTATGTAGTTTTACCTTTAGTATTGGGTAGATTGGACTATGCTGATACGGGTTTTAGGGTTCTCTTACAGCACGAAGGAGGTTGGATCTTTAGATCCTACTTATTTGACGGTCGAGTCGACCGCCAATAAGACGGAAGAAGGGCGGTGGTCTGTCATCAATGTCACTGCACTTGACACAAGCCGGTTGGCGGCTGAGTCTGCGTGGGAGCTGCTTCAAGGCTTTTATAGCGCACTTCCAAATCTAGATGCAGATGTTGAGTCGACGGATTTTAATCTCTGGTATCTAAATCCCCGAGTGAATGCTGTCCTGAGTCCATACAGCTGACTTGATAACTAGGACCGAATCATTTGGTGGCCATTGGGGTCCCAGCTTCTCCACTTACTTCTACGAGCAGAACGAGAAGCTCCCTGGAGATGGCTCAAAAGGTCGTAAATTGAACTTCAAATCCCTTGGAATCATAAATGGCATCATTGATGAGCCGACGCAGACGAAGTATCTTCTCGAGTTCACAAAGAAGAACACATACGGGGTACAGCTTATCAACGACACAGTCTATGACCACGGCGCCTTCAGCCTCAACATGCCAGACGGGTGTCAAGACCAGCTTGACTACTGTAACTGGATGAAGCGAGAAAATTCCATCGTCCGTCGGTCAGCGTGCGCGGCCGCTCAATATATCTGCCAGACCACCGTGGAAGGCCTGTACTATCGCTTCGGTGATCGGGGAACCTATGATATTGTACGTGTGGATAATACTTACATCACACATTGATAGCTGATCAGACATCAAACAGCGTAAACCTACCGGACAAGACGTTCCCCCAAGTTACTGGCGTGTAGGTGTTTACATACCCTCCATTCCCAACTTTATTTATCAACTGACATACAACATAGGACTATCTCAACACCGCCCCCGTTCAAAACGCCCTTGGAGTAGATCTAAACTACACCTCAAGCAACCTAATCTACACAGCTTTCAGTCTGTCTGGCGACTTCGCAGCGCCATATCTCCCCGATCTAGAAAGGCTTCTGGAACTAGACATCCAAGTGTCCCTAGTCTACGGCGACGCCGACTACATCTGCAACTGGCTTGGCGGGGAGGCAATCTCTAAGGTTGCCAAATGGTCGGGACAAGAAGCGTTCAATAACGCAGGATACACTAACCTCGTCGTGGATGGAACGGCATACGGCGAAACTCGGCAGTATGGAAAGCTGAGCTTTACCCGTGTTTGGGAGGCTGGACATGAAGTTCCTTGTATGAGCTTACATTTTTTTCTTGTATACCTATTCGATGATGTTTGGGAATGCTAATTTAGGGGTGGGCTAGACTTCCAACCGGCTGCTGCGTTGCAGATCTTTAATAGGACTATTAATGGGTTTGATATTGCCACAGGGGAGGTTGGGGTCTCTCCTGGTAGTGATTATGCGACGAACGGCACTGCTGCGACTACTCATACGACTACTTTGCCTCCTCTTGCTTCGTCAACTTCGGGCTGATAGTTAGAGAGGGCTTTTGATCAGCTGGGGGGGGTACATTACTTGGACATAGGTAGTAGGGGTACATGTTGAGCAATAATCCCGAGATTTCCACGGATAGCTCCTCTCTCGCTAGGGATGAAGTTATGGTTGACTTAATATGTGCTTAAGAATCAGAGCTCATGTGACAAAGTTCCGGTTTACTCAAGAACTATCTAGAGTCGTTAACCTGAGGGGTTGACTTGGTGATCACTGCTGGTTGGATCAAGACGACATTGGCTGAGAAGTAAGATGTAGACAGATACCGACCACTGGGCTCGTGATTAAACAATAATAAATCTATGTGACTTGCCAAATATAGCTCTGTGTGGTGGGTTTTGCTGTCAGAAAAGGATAGAGTATCCGTGGGATAAACAATTAGAAAATCATCGGCGGCAGACATGGCTAGGAGGCAGCCACGCCGAGGATGAATTCCTCAATCAAAATTGGCAGGGCTTTTGGGACACATAAAGTCATGAAATATTGCCAAAAGTTGAGATATAAGGCCTGTAATTGTTGCGGCAGACTTATGTTTTCAAGTGAGACGATATACTTCTTCCAACTAGTATATGTCAGACTAGACTGTATTGGGAAATAGTCCCATCATGTGACATGAGCTAGGTCTAGTGAGGAAGGCGGTCTTTAATAAGATTGGCGCTAGTTGGACCTCATCAACCTCGGGGTAGGCAAGGAGGCTTTTTATTGGTTTCGTAGACCACTTCTTTTAAAAATCTATATAAATTAGGTGTTTCTTTTAGAACCCATTGTTATGAGTTCAAGTTCGATATTGGCTGCGTTGTGACGTCCACCTAAATATACACTTTTCAAACAAGGAACTAAGAAAGTTGTACAAATTATTCTGCCGCATGCTACAGTGGTCACCGCCTATTTAATCAGGCTCAGCCCTCCGGTCCCAGGATGTTCGGAAGTATTATCGATAGACAATAAAACACGCCGCAACCCAAACAAATAAATCAGGCGTCGCTACACCATTACCCCACCAATCGATCTACATACCTTAATTGAGAGCTCTTTAAGAAGATATATTTTCCGTTATATACCATTTTATTCTACTTCGAAGGGTCTCAGTATAAAATCCATTCTCCAGTCACCATGTCTACTCCAATGTCCGATGGCTCCCCGGCCCAAGAATCCGAGAACCCTCTCCTCCGCGCCTCAAATCCGATGGTCTCTGATCTAGAACAAGAAGTTCTAGATGAATACTCTAGATTACTGGGCAATGTAAATAAGGTATGAAGTGCACGCATTGACCTTCTCAAGCTTTGAATATCGTCTATCTATATATGTCGTTGTGTTCGCTATACCCCGCGCTTCCTATCACCATTATATCATCGCCGCACCATCCCACACCAAATCTCCCGAGAATATTATAACCGAACTTATACTGACTCTGGTGTGATCTACCCATAGCTATCCGAAAAGCTCGCCGACCTCTCCGGCGATCCCTCATCCCTTACTCTGGACGGCCTTAGACTTCTTGAACGGAAGACGGCGACTGTCTGCACACTTTTGAAAGCTAGTGTGTACAGCATTGTGCTCCAGCAACAGATCTTCAACGAGAATGAGGAGCAGCAACAGATGGAGCAGCAGGGTGATCAGATGCAGTATCATGATCAGGGGTATGATTATCAAGATGAGGATATGAGTTTTGAGGGGCGATTTGCTTGATATTGGTCAACTTTGCTTCTGTAATTATTGTACGGGTTTTATTTTTGCTTCTTTTCTCTTGCATATATAGGTGTGGGCCATGCGTATACCCCCTTTGTTTTGGTATGTGGGTTTTGGTTGGCGTGGTGTTGGGCTTTGTGGGTTGATTATGGAACCAGGAACTGGATTGATATGAGATACTATGACACTAGTCTTGCAGATACAAATACATGTCAGGGTACAAAGAGAACAAAAGGAGGAAAAAGGATTATATACATCGCCATAACGCAAAGAAAGCGTGCATCACATGCCGCAAACGATGCCCATATTCGTACAGTCTATTCTATGCGAGATGATGACTGTCGAGACGTCTAGATAACGAAAAGAAGGTTATCCAGACTATTTGAAATCATTTAAGACCCGGAAAGAAATGTCCCACTAGGAAGAACGTAACAACGTGCTGAAGACGCCGATTAATATCTTCCCGAGTAGTAGACCTTACGGACATCGACCATCTTCTTGCCACGAGCACGGGCAATATCCTCTGGGTTGCGTTGACTCATGAGAGCGTCGTAAGCTGCCTTAACAGTGTTCATAGGGTTTCTCGAGCGACCGACACGAGCGGCGAGGTCATGGATACCGGCAGCGCGGCACATCTCGAAGATCAAATGCTGACAACGGAGTCCGAATCCTATGCATTGTTAGTAGCTAGAACCAGTAGCTCATGATTAAGGGTTTGCATACCTGGCGGACGGGTCATCAACTTCAACTCAACTGCTCCAACCTTGCCCTCAACATCACCAAAGATAGTGCGGCCCTCGTACCGTGGGATTGGTTGCATATTTCTGATGGCTCGGTATTTGGATTGTGTTATGGCATCGGCAGACTCCTCAGACTTGGCTTCTCCAATTCCCAGGAGACCATTGCCGTTGCCAGCGATGGAAAGGCAGTACATACGACGCACCTTACCCAGACGAGTCTGGTTAACGACTGAGTGCGAAACAAGGGTCTTCGTCGCCAGGCCCTTAACAAAGGCTTGGGTATAGCCTGTCGACTGGAGAAGCCTCTTCAACGCCTCAGTTATTTCCTCACTCTCTCCAAACCTTGCGGACGATTGCATCTCAAAAGGCTTGACAGGTTTGTCTTCCTCCGTCAGAGACTGCCCCGGGCTGAATAAATCCGGCACTAGGGCACTGTGAGGGTTCAGTTCATTCTCCTCCTTGCCCAGGGTGACTCGCATGGTCTCAGCGAACCGCACCCAGTCAGCCGCGGTAGCGTCCTCCGGCATTTCTTGGAAGAAGCGGGCGAAGTCTTCGACGAAATCATCATCGCTTTTCAGGGTCGCGTTGTAGTCGGAATTGGACTTGGGCGCCCGGACATGCTTGTCCACGCCGGGCTCAATGGTTGAGAAATCATCAAGGTAATGAAGCTTCATCGGGTCCCGGCGAATAGCAAACTGTTCTGCCATGTCTTTGGGGTCGATTGCCGCCTCACCGGCTTCAATTGCGGCCAGCTGCTCAGGAGTGTATTCTTCCTTCAGGGCTGCCTTTTCCTCTTCCGTGTACGCCTTAAAGTGCTTGGGCTTCATATCCCGCGTAATCTCTTCCAAAGTCTTCTCATCTCGGGCCTTGAAGTTCGGGAATTTTGGTTTACGGTTCGCGAACTGTGTCGGGGAAGGGTGGAATTGGCGACTAGGTACTCGCGTGCCCGCGGAGACACCTCGAGTAAAGCTGCAAAACACACATCTTGCCGGCCGTGCGAAGCTCATGTTGAAGGATAGGAGCTCTCTGGCCAGCAGAGGCCACTGGAGAGCTATTCCGGAAAGGTGAAATGGATTGGGGGGAAAGTGGGATCAACCGCGGTGCTAAGGGTGGACGGAGGTTTGGATGGTTGAAGAACTGAAGGACTAAAAGCCAGCGAAATTCTCAGCGGAACGGTTCGACCAATTGCCGCCCACCTTTTTTTGGTCACTCATCTTGTCCCTCCAGAAATCAAGCCAATTTTCTTTCTGTTCCTCTTTCGCAACAATTCCTCTGCTCTTTAGATTTTTTCTGACTTGGTCTATTATATATGTTCGCTTTTAGGGCGGGTCTCTCCCTATCGCGAAAACACTACTCTTCAATTCTTTCTTTGCGGGCTGAATATCTCGTCTTTTCCAAGTCTCTCTTGTCCCACCGTCCATACCCCATTGCGCCGTTCTCCTCCACCATAATGCAAAACTCTCCTAAGAGTCCAGATATGAATGCGAAACGGCGCAAGAAGTCCAAGGTTGACCGAGAAAAGAGCAGTGGGTTTGATGAAGTCCTTCAAGCCGATATCGACAACCTTCTGCGGAAACACAAGCCTGAGAGCGAGATTGGTGTAGAAGATGCTTCCACACCACCACCGGCTTCTTCTCTACCGGAGACTTTTACCGAGATCGAAGTTAAGGTCGCCGAGATATCTTCAACTGGCGATGGCCTTGCGTTGTCCGAGGATGCGAATCATGTCTACGTCGTTCCGTTTACCGTGCCCGGCGATAAAGCATTAGTGAAGGTCATACGGCATTTTCCTAACTTGTCGTACAGTTTGACGGATTTCCTGAAAGTGGTTGAGCCAGGCGCTCAGCGAAATGATGCCGGGATAGGGTGCCAATACTTTGGCAAGTGCTCCGGTTGCCAGCTACAGATGATGTCCTATGAAGATCAGCTGGCTCATAAGAAGCGCATTGTGGAAAAGGCTTATGCGAACTTCTCCGGCTTGATCCCGGAGTTAATTCCGGCCATCGACGACACCTTCCCCTCCCCTCTGCAATATGGTTATCGCACGAAGTTGACGCCACATTTTGCGGGTCCCGGCGGGAATAGGAGGAGCAAAGCCCCTAAACAACCCCATACAGAAGTACCACCCATCGGATTTACTATGAAGAACCAGCGCCGGGATCTGGATATTGAAGATTGTCCTCTGGGTACCGATATTGTGCGAAAGGGCCTGAAAAGTGAGAGAAAGAGGGTTGCAGAAAACATTGGGAAATACACTAAAGGCGCAACTATTTTGCTGCGTGAATCTACCGCGCGACTTCCTAAAGATGATGTGGACCCTGGTTCAGCGGTCAAGGACCGTGAGGTTGAAGTGGGCGAGGACTCAGGAGATGTGATTCAAATCGAACGAGAGAAGTACACCGAAGAGAAACGGTGTGTGACGGATCCCAATGGTACATCGGTCGAATATATCGATGATTACTTCTTCAGCAACAGAGCCGGTGCTTTCTTCCAAAACAACAATTCCATCCTCTCCGGTTTCACAGAATACATCCGCCAGCTTGCGCTACCAAAACACACCCAAGAAGACTCCAAACCGATTAAGTACCTTCTAGATGCCTATTCCGGGTCCGGTCTTTTCACAATCACCCTCTCGCCGCTCTTCAAGTCAAGCCTTGGTGTGGATGTGTCTGGAGATTCTATTGTCTCTGCACGAGAGAATGCACGCGCCAACTCCCTTCCCAACACTGGCTTTGCTGCGGCAGATGCCGCCACGCTTTTCAAAGACGTACCCTATCCTCCCGACCAGACACTCCTCGTCATTGACCCGCCCCGCAAGGGTTGCAGCGATGACTTCCTCCGCCAGCTTCTGACTTTTGGGCCTCGCCGCATCGTCTATGTGAGTTGTAATGTGCACACTCAGGCGCGGGATGTGGCGGTTATGGTCCAGGGTGATAAGGAAAAGAACATTCGTTTTGAGATCGAGAGTATCAGAGGCTTCGATTTCTTCCCTCAAACAGGCCACGTTGAAGGTGTGGCAATTTTAAACAAGACTACATTCTGAAAAATAAATGCGATAGCACACAAGGCATATATTTAACATTCTTGAGTGGAATTGTTGGACTTCAACCGGCGTTGGCTACGGCATAAAAGAACATACATAGCATAGACTTTAATTGACGATTCTCTATTGTACATGACTGAGCATTTCATGAAACAGAAAATAATGTTTCTGTCTTTTTTCTTCTCTAAAGTATGATTCAGTCTTTGCTTCTGCCCCACTGGACAGGATTGGACATGGTGTGAGTATGTATATAGTGAATAATACCTAGGCATCTACGGCAAATGATAAATACATCATCGCTACTGAAGCTTCATATCCCTTAGTAAATTATCTTATAGGCAGTGGTCACGGGTTCAGCTGGTTAAGTATAGCTTGAGGATCACATGCATACATATATACACTACTTCTATTAGTAGTACGCTTGGAATAATCTAAGCTAATAGAATTCCATCTCGCGTCCACTAGTATCTTTCACCAAGACTCTCTTAATACCTGGGAATTTTTCTGTCTTATTTGAGTGTGAGACCTCATCTAATACACACATGCGAAAGATATAATAAGTGCGAACAGCCCATTTACCTTAACAGCCTAACTTACAAGGTATGTACCGGGTGATGTAAATGGACTGTCGGTAGGATTCTGCGGATTGTCGCTATAGATAGGCAGTTAACGTTAAATTAAGTTCGTTGCGGTGGATTTTTCCATTGCTTAAATGCTCTTTACATTGCCCCTTTACAGCCCACTATTCTTGACTTTGGCGATGGAGAAATGTTGAAGCTAGGTCGTCGTGGGAGGAGGTACCAGGCAGTGGTAGACGTTGAACGTTTCCACTTTTATTCATATGTGAGCATCCAGAAAAGAGCTCGCTCATGAGGGTCAGGTGTATATGTACATACATTGGGGGTGAGTATCAGGTCGGGACTTTGCCCTCTGATCTATCCAGCTACATGAAAACGCGCAGCGTCAGATTGAGATGAGCTGTGGGACATCGTAAAAGAAAAGAAAACTATTGACAAAGAGCTAATGGACACACTGACAACTAATCTCCTCTATTTACGAACTGCCCGGCCCTCCGAGAAGGGCAAACCTCCGGACAATGCTGGGGCCTATCTCATCGTACTCTGCCTTGGTGTGGCAGTAGCTGCGGAACTCCGGGGTCTGACCCAACAAGCTACCTCCGAACCATGGACCATGTCTCTGCCTCTTGTGCGTCACCACGGCCACATCCAAACCACCACTCCTGGCGCCACCACTGCGAGCTTCGGACGCGCGAATGCGAGCATCGACCAGATGCCTGATATCA